AGCTCGCATCACTGGCCTGAGTATAAAGAATCAAAGAACCGTTGTCGGCATTGCAAACTTGGGTTCAGTAGAGTGTACTGTGACAAGTGCAATGTCTGTCTGTGTCTTAGTAATGCACGAAACTGCTTCAGAGATTTTCACACTTTGTGAACTAAGTAGTTGACATGATATTATGACATTTTCAATTGTTTATGCAGCACAATATTCATAACACCATTTTTAAGAATTAATAGAATTATCCTAGTTAGAATATGTACCTTATTAAATAATTTAAAGTTATTTGTGTGTACAATATATAAGTACAACAATCTTCATTTATTCTGCAGCTAAGACTAGCCCCGCCCTCCCCCCGCCCGCCCTCCCCCCCCCCCTGTATCTGTGTAGCTCCCTGCTCTAAAATGGACCTGAAGACAATGCCACTTTGATAAAATGGATTTTCACTATTGCAGTTTGCATATTCTGGAAAAGCTGCATAAAACATACTAAACTCACTATGCAGGATTTTCACTCAAATTATACCCCTAACTGGGCGGTGATTAAATTGAAATCTTTCTACAAAGTTGCAACGTGACAATTTGAACGAGTGCGCGCTCAGAAAGACTTTAGTTTAGCGCGCGTCAAATATTAATATTACTCCGACTAATGGGGCGCCCCTGACTTTTGTAAATCGGTCAGAACAACCCATAGACCAGTCAAAATTGCTTGTTTCCATGGAAATAAGTGTCGAGACCAATCAGAACAATGAATTTTGACTGATCGACTTTGTGTATGTCAGCTGCTCATTGACTTGACTAAGCTCGTTGGCTCAGCCACTGTATGAAATTTGATCACTGGACTACACTTCGATTGAAATGTTAATCGCTAGCGCTGCATGATAATAGATACTGGACTGTAATAAAGTGCCTCTGCATGATAAAAGATGACTGGACTATTGTTTGAATATGTAAGACTTTATAGTAACTTTGCAATTTTTATGTTAGTTGCGTGACCGGTTTGACGATCCCTAGATCCGCCCCTGACATGCCCTAACAACATCACGACCTGATTCATTCTCAACCATCTCCCTACAATCGAGTGCAAAAATTGTTGAGACAAGCAGTTTATTGGCCCTCTCCTTTCTGTGGTAAGAAGTGGTTAATGCCCCCTCCCTCTATTGCAATGTTGTTAAAACGATTTTGAGGCGAGGGGTTATCTAATAATATGTTTTCAACATTGTTAATGGGGGGAGAGAGACGCACGCGTGAAAAATATCACCGAAAGCGAAGAGTCCATTATTTTTGCACGCAATTGTGTCTATGACGTTGTTTCAAGTCATGATAATTTTAATATGGTTATTCCGCTTTACTGTATAAATAAGAGTCACACTAGCCTTTGTTTACTGTCACTATGTGTTTGGTGTGTGCCTTGAACCCCATCGAAAATCTATTTCATTTGGTAGGAAGACAGAATGGTACATTTCGTTCGTACAAATTGATTGGTCATCAAGCTACCCTCCAAAGGCGCTTAGGGAGCATTTCGGGTAGGTTCGGAAAATGCGGGTTACAGGCGAGTGCGCCTGCCGAGTAATGTTTTCAACTCGGATGGCGTATGCTATAAATCGAAATTTTCTTTTTGACTTTACTATTATGACTTATTAAATATGCAATATGCATACCACCACTGTTCTAATAGATCTAAATAATTAATATTTAGAAATAGCATCCAGTGATCTTGGCAGACTAAAAAGTACTTATAACTAGCCGCCGCTTTTCTATGACGATGGAGACTGTTTTTTATATTAAAAGTGTTTATACAATTAACAATGCAAATTCAACATCAACGATATTATATCTGCTTTCTACATATTTTATGGAGCTTTGGTGGCGAAGTGGTTAGCGCACTTGCCTTTCACCTCTAAAGCTTCTGTTACACGTAGCTTTTTTGTCTGCAACTTGTGTCGCAAAAACATGAAATTCAAGTTGCAGGGCATTTTTCAACGTGTTACATTCCCAAAGCCAATAATAAATATAGTTTTGCAAGTCGCAGGAAAAGTTCATCTCTGTTCTACTTTCGCAACAAATTTCTCAAAGTTGCAGCGCATAAATTACGTGTGACATGGCAAAGACGCGTTTGGCGGGAAAATTTGTCTGGTCGTATGTCAAAATGGCGGAAATTGCTGTGGGTGAACAAATGAGTGTTGATGATGAAATTCATGAAAGTGAAGGGTTTCGCCAAGCTTTCTTTAGTAGAAAGCTATCAGACATCGAAAAGGTACGATATATAACAGAGCTGGAGAGTTACACTGCTCTTTGGATGACTAGTGCAGTATTTACTCGAGCACAAAAAACAACAGCATTGAATGCAATGAGTCTAAAATTTTCACTCAACGAAGAAAGTGTTAAAAAGGTCCTTCACTCGTTGCGCTCTTCCATGGTACGTGAAATCCGCCGAGAAAGTGAAGACAAGGACTATGAAAGTTCCTGGAAGTTTTATAAACGTTTGAGCTATATGAAACCAGATATTTTACAAAGTTTAAAGCAAGAAGCCGAGAAACAGTGGAGCAACGAAGAAATTATAACCCTGATTGAGCTGTACGAAAGCAACCCAGTGCTTTGGGATCACTTTTCGCAGGGATATAGAGATCGAAACATACGGAAGCTTGCCATGGACAAAATTAAGGAAAGCTTTGAAAAACGAACTGAAGAAGAAATCAAGAGTCAATGGCATACACTCAAAACTATTTACCCACGAGAATACGAGAGACAAGAAGCAATCATGCCAGCAAGAAATCTGGCAGCGCCGGCCACCTCTGAAGTTTACAAAACTAAATGGAAGTTTTTCGAGACCCTGTCGTTTGTTTTGCGCTGCAATGAAGTTGACAACTCTCAAAGCACTTGGAATGAGGATGAGCTGGCAGTAGCCCCCGTCCCACCCATACGGAAAAGAAAATCAAGCGAAGCAAACGAAGACATGAAGGCTGAACTGTACAAGACTTGCATCGAGGCATTGAAACCGAGTCAGGAGGAGAAATTAACAGAAGATGAAACATTTGGTAAAACCGTAGCAGACATTCTTTCTTGATTTACAGGTTTGCAAAAGGTTGTAGCAAAAAAGAAAATAAACGATGAGCTTTTTGAACTAGAAATGGGAGCTTTTAATGATGGCATTTCATCATCTAATGCAATGACCTCTCCAGCTAGCTGTCCAATATATTGTTTCAATCCCTAATTTTTCACAATTTAAACAAGTGTGAACACACAGTACTGAGACAAGTCAGTGTTTATCTCAATTGTTTTTTATTAACGAAAACAATTACAAATGTTTTAACTATCAATTGATTTGACTGAAATTTGTTCAAAAATCTTTAATATCAATTGTCTGAATTTAATTAATTATTTAATGAATTATTGTGAATTAAATTGACATTGTTTAAAGTCGAGTTATCACATTTAAATAATAGATACATTAAAAAAAACATGTTTTTGATTTGATTTGACTTGATATATGTATCAGTTATAAATATATTTTACAAGGCCAGTATAAAATTGGCAAACATTGGGTGTGGATCTTTCTTGAAGAGTGTGGATCATTCTTGAATGTAGCGCCGTTCCTAGGTGTGATAATTGGGGGGGGGGGGGGGGGTGAATATTCATATCTTCATATAATTATTTTGAAAGTGATAGCTTTTACAGTGAACATGAATTAATATATTAATATACATCCCCCCAATTATGCATCTAGGAACAGCCCTGCTTGAATGACCCATCACATTTTGGTGTGAATGTGATCACAAGGTAATTTATCTCAAATGATCAAAATTTAAACATCAAAGGAAATCATATGTGTTGAGACAACCTCACCTTTTGTACTCAACTCTAGAGGTAAACTATGTATATGCAGCATTACACTAAACATAAGTACAGTACAGCTTAATCAATGCCACATTGAAGCCATTGCCAATGCACAACACCTTCGTTATTAAAGTATTGTAAGTATTCCTCTCTTATGGCTTTTGCATCTGCACTGTAGTTGTTGCTGCAACTAGGTTTGTAAGGAAGCCAGGAAGATGGTGAAGCCTCAGTACGCCAGGAGACACAATCCCAGTCGCTTTGTCTTCAACATCAACAAGATTAGCTGGAATGTAGGGCACCACACTTTCTGGACGATGTATCAGGAAATTGTGCAAGGTAATAATAGCCAGTGTCAGCTGTGTCACTTTTTCAGGAGAGAGAAGAATAGCTGACCTCAGAATGCGCCATCGGTTTGCCATGATTCCAAAAGCATTTTCTGAAATTCTTCGGTTTCTTGACAACCTGTAATTAAAAATCCGTTTCTCTGTGTCTAGACTAAATTGGGGATAGGGTTTCATCATATATGTTGTTAGGGCAAAGGCATCATCTCCAGTGAAAACAAATGGGACAGGCTTTCTTCTACCAGGAAGAAGTCTAGGTTGTGGTAGATTCAATGGGTTATTTTCTGCAGCTAGAGCCTGCTTTAATGCACATTTTTGCCACACTGTTCCATCTGAAACTCTACCATTTGCACCAACATCTGCCCACAATATTTCATACTGAGGACCAACTGCAGCTAGTAATATAAGACTGTTATGCCCTTTGTAATCATAATAGTGGGAGCCACTCATTCCAGGTTGTTGTATGGTAATCCGCTTCCCATCGACAGCCCCAATGCCATTGGGAAAATTCCACCGCTTCTCAAATATACTTGAAAGATGCAACCAACCCTCAGGGGTAGATGGAAGTTTAAGAAACTCTTTGGACAAAACGTTGAAGATTGCGTGACATGTTTCTACTACTATAACAGAAATAGCAGTTCGACTTATCCTGAATTGAAATTCTAAAGATTTGAAAGACTCTCCTGTTGCCAAATAGCGAAGTGTTACCGCCAGTCGTTCTTCAGGCTTAATACTTGCTCTCATAGCCGTATCACACTTTCGTATGCGACTTTCAACGAGGTCTGAAAGGATGCCAAAATGCTTTTTATCCATGCGAAAATAATTGAAGTATGATGTCTCGTCTTCGAGTTCAAGTTCAGGAACCAACTACACAAAGAAAACCACAACTTACTCAGTGAAATGTACATGACTTCGTTGCAGTCTTTACGTAAAAAAAACAAAAAGAGTTAACGAAAGCTTTTTGAACGAATTTATATACGCTACAAAATAGAAATAAAATGCTAGTATATTTTTATAAAATATTAAAAATACCTGATGAAAACATCCCCTCTGCTGTCTTCGCGCAATCCAAGGCCTTACCCAGACTTTCCTCGAACGCTTCTTTTTCTGGATTTCATCTAACTCTAAAAACTCTTGCAATAAAACGAAAGCAGCCACTGCTTTCTTTTTCTTCATGGTCGCCATGTTTACATTAGCGCTGTCGCAAGATGTCGTAAGATTGCTACTCCAATACTCGCGCGAGTTGCAAACTGATAAACAAACGTGACGCGTGTGACATGTTTGCGTGCAACTCGTGAGAAATTTTTTGCGACACAAGTTGCAGACAAAAAAGCTACGTGTAACAGAAGCTTAACTGAGTCTGAGCATATGCTTTTCGCGCGAATTAAATCGGCTATCGTCAGTTTCAATGGGTAACAATATACGGTAGGCATGCATGCTCAATCAAAAACAATTTGGTTGTTTGAAATTTTTATCTTTAAATTTTAATGACACACAATTGGAAAATTAAAAAGCAAACTGAAATTTTTTCTGTTTGAGCAAAAAGTTCCCGCCGGATAAGGGACATCCGGGACACCGGTCCAGATACGGAAAATACGGACCACGCCCTTACAAAAAATCCACATGAATTCACACATGTGATTTCGTGTGAAATCAAGTGATAACATGTGAAATTATGTGATCTTATGTGAAATTTAACATGTGAAAAAATTTCACATGAAATCACATGTGAAATTTCACAAATGAAAGGATTTCACATGAAATCACATGTGACATTTCACATGTGAAAAGATTTCACATGAAATCACATGTGATATTTCACATGTGAAAAGATTTCACATGAAATCACATGTGACATTTCACATGTGAAAGGATTTCACATGAAATCACATGTGAAAAGATTTCACATGAAATTACAAGTGAAATTTCACATGTGAAAAGATTTCACATGAAATCACATGTGACATTTCACATGTGAAAGGATTTCACATGAAATTAAATGTGACATTTCACAAATGAAAGGATTTCACATGAAATTACAAGTGAAATTTCACATGTGAAAGAGTTCACATGAAATTATAAATTACAAGTGAAATTTCACATGTGAAAGAATTTCACATGAACGTTACAAATTACAATTGACATTTCACATGTGAAAGGATTTCACATGAAATTACAAATTACAAGTGAAATTTCACATATGTGAAAAGATTTCACATGAAATTACAAGTGAAATTTCACATATGTCAAAAGATTTCACATGAAATTACAAGTGAAATTTCACATATGTGAAAAGATTTCACATGAAATTACAAGTGAAATTTCACATATGTGAAAAGATAAGGATTTCACGTGACATTACAAATTACAAAGTGAAATTTCACATGTACGTGAAAGGATTTCACATGAAACTACGACTGAAATTTCACATATGAAAGGATTTCACATGAAATTACAAATTACATGTACAAGTGAAATTTCACATATGTGAAAAGATTTCACATGAAATAAAAAGTGAAATTTCACACGTGAAAAGATAACGATTTCACATAACATTACAAATTAAAGTGAAATTTCACATGTACGTGAAAGGATTTCACAAGAAATTACAAATTACAAAGAAATTTCACATGTGAAAAGATTTCACATGAAATTCTATACAAGCAGTGGCGGCGCCAGGCCTCAGAAATGGGGGGGGGGGGATTTGAGG